GTTAACGTCCGAAAAGAAAGACCTATCCAAAGCAAGTCTGGCACAAAAATGGGTTGCTTTGTTACAATCCCTATGTGCAAAAAACAAAAGGACTTGTGCAAAGTCAGAAAAAAAGCCTCTGTGGAACCGGTTCAGCCCCAGGCCCCCGCATCAAGTTCCTATTGCTTAAATGCGCAGAGCATAAAGCAAAGTGCTACTTTTATGAACTAGAGCATTCATGAATTGTGTATATATATATATATATATATATATATATATTATGTGCATACAATAATCATTTATTCAAACAAAATTAAACAATATCATGTAACATTTTTCTACAAATTAATGACATTTTAAATAACAATAATTTCTAGCTATTACAAGGAAAACAGATCAAAGTAATAAAAATCAAGAATATTCATGAAAAAAAGCAAACTAAAGACCAAGAGGAAGAGATAATGTGAAGCAAGAGAGAATGAATTTTAGGCATCAACAAGAAGTCTTAAGAAGCTTTTGAGTAAGAACTTGTTAGCCCAAACAATAAAAACTAGAGAGAGATGTATAAAAAACTAACAAGCTAGAAAGCGTGAGGAGAAACAACAAAAATCAAATAGCTTCAGTGCAAGAGAATGCAAAACTAATGAGCAGCAACTCAAAGACTCAAAAATAATGAAATAAATGACATTTGTGCCTAGTTAATGCTAAATTAAACACAAAATTTGAAGCAATATTTCATTATGATTCTAAGTAGAGAGCACAATGCTATTAATGTGACGCAGAGAAGTGGTGTGATGTAAAAGCTTCACTATAAGCTTGCACTTTATGGGCAAGCAATGCGTAGAGCCAGTTTATTGCTTTGGTTCACTCCTAAAACATACTTTTAATAACACGGGCGTCGTTATTAATCGTTGTACCTGTGTCATGGATCACTTTTGGTCCTTATAAAATGATCCATGACACACGTGCAACCATTAACAAGGACACCACTTATCTATCTATTTATATATATATATGTATTATA